GTATAAAAAACTTGCTGCGTATGTTTTGGAGTACACGCTCTAAAAGGATTCTGTTTTGTTTTGAAGTAAAGATCTCATTAATTTCACGTAATATACTTGACTTTTTGCATGTTTAGATGATGAACTCACAGAACAAACATCACTAATACCGTCAACATCAACAGATAAGCGAAACATATTTTCCCTATCGTCTTCACATCCCGAATTAATGCAAACCACAAGCAGTATGACGACTCGTGTAAGCACAAGTCATCGTACAACAACAACATGTATGAAAGAAATACTTATTTCATTTCTTATCTAAATATTTTTTCTCTATTTACCAGCAATAACTCTTAGCACTTCAACAATGGTTACCATGGGGAACATCGATATCTCGAATAATGAGTCAACAAGTAAATAACTAACTATTTATAAATACTAAATCTTAAAAGGTATTTTTTCAAAAGACTGCGGCGTTTGTCATGGTATAAATTCATGTTGCAACAACTGTCAAGATGTTATTGATGTTTATAAACAGAAGCGATGGACATTAAATCCAAATAAAGTTGAACAATGTCAAAGTAAAGTGTATTATTCCCTCGTAAGACAAATTATGAAAGTGTTTTATTTTAGAAAATTGCCATGGTATTTATTTTAAATCGGAGTGGAATAATAATGATAATGATTTGTATGTACCGGAACTAAATTCAACAATCGACGACTGTTGTAGTAGATGTAAAAACGAAACGAAATGTCAAGGATTCGTGTACGACTCAGAAGAAAAGAAATGCTCAATCAAACAGCTGATAACAAATAAAAATGGGTCGTTTAATCAGTTTGCAATGTCAGCACAAATATACGGTAAAAATACACTTTTTTTCGATATTTTTTGTTGTTCTTTTGTGTCGAGAAAGAGTGTGTACATACCAGAGGTGGGCGATGAACTATCTTTAGCTCCCTCACGGGGATCGTCTCGCAAACTTTCTGCCTCATCATTATTCTGTACCTCGTCAAGTTTCGATAAATGTACTTCACGAGATCATCTCATAAGCTTTCTACCCCGTCGCCGTCTCGTCTACCGTCAACTCTTGATAAAATTTTCCTCTGACACTTTCTCATGGATTCCCCTGAGTCCAGAAGATCTCTGCTAACATCAGCTATTCATTGTTTCGTCTTGGTTCACAAGAAAAACCATCACCTTTATTCAGTGGCGGATCCAGGATTCTATCGACGGAGTGGCGATTTCTAAACGAAGTCGTCCGAGGTAGTATTAATTTTTTTTTCCTAACGAAGTCTGGTAGTGTACTTGCATTAGAATTCCATTTGCGAGGGGACCGGCGGTCGCCGGACTGCCGTAGTGCTAGATCCGCCATTGCCTTTATTATAAAAATAGATCAAAATAAACATAACATCTTTCACTCCCAAGAAAAAATGTTCTTGGCGGAGTTCGGGTCTTGAAGTTCTTGCCTCATAATTTCCCCGTGCCTTGTCAAGCTTTCAAAAAATCATCCTCACGGGGTCCATCCTGTGAAGAATTACGGGCCCACACGAGGATCCTCGTCCATCGTCCACCTCTGAAATATACGATAGCGATGATAACACATTCAAAACTTATTCATTGTTCTGGAAAATGTATGTAAAAATGAGCTAAAACAAATAAAACTTACTCTCCAACCTCTTTGATATTTACAGAAGTTCACTCCCGATATAAACTTTGTTCTTTCAAAATTAAAGCAGAAAAAATTCCATTATAATATTCTATCCTGAAACTATTGGCAAACACAATATCAGTTTACAGTACAAACTTAACGGTGCAATAAATAACAGAATTTACTCTTTTACTAAGGATACGACACACATACGAGATAGCTTCAACTTAAACAGACCGAGCGAAACTTAGACATTTTCGTCATATTTTTCTCTAGCAACCACCTACGTCGATAATTCATTTCTTATTTTTAGCCACAAATATATTGATGCATGATGATGACTTCTTAGTTGGTGTATGTAACACAACTGTTGGAGATGAATACAGCCTAACAATCACTGAACAATCACGAATAGAGGCGAACAATCACCTTGGCTTGAATCGGTGTCAATATTTGGAAAAAATGAGTGTCAGAAACATTATCGACAATGATTTGACAACAAAGTATTTAAATTTCGGAAATGGAATACCGAGTGATACTGTTGGCGTTGGTACTGGTTTCGTTGTTGTCCTCTCGAGTGGTTTATCTGTCTTGACGGGTGTTCAGTTTGCTACGGGTTCAAATATGGCCGCTAAAGATCCGTTGACAATCACAATCGAGTGTAGTAACGCGACAACATCACTAGAAAACGGTATACAGTGGCGATTGATTTACGAAGGATCTAATGGATGTGGTGCACAACAAAATATTGGTCGTCAAATTTATTGTCCAATTCAAGATATTCAAACAAATGTTTCTTGTAGAAGTTATCGACTATTAATTCAATCTCAACGTGGTATAGCTACTAATATACAATATTCAGAAGCACATTTACTGGGGTATTTTATTAAGTAAAGAATTAATTTAAGAAATAAATATAAGTAGAATAAGAGTAAGATTTGTGTCATTTTGTTCAGAACAAATACTGCGGCTAATTCCACATAATGGAACAATATGGCTTTGAGCTATAACATTTATAAATTATAAATTTTTTAAACTAAACTGCCGATCGATCTATTCCTAATCTGATTAGAATTATAATCTTTTAGAGAATTCCTAGGTTCCTTTTCAAACACATAACGCTGATTTCAATACATTTGTCTCTTGTTTAGTTTGATTGCGTGATTTTCTTTTCAGAAACACTCGAAATTATACAGGCTTTCTCACCTTTGTGCTAGAGACGTTATTTTTTATCAGCAGAAAAAGAAATCAGGAATCTGCGTGATCCTGTAAAATATTCGCTAAATGAATAAAGAATCGTAGTAAGGGTTCTAACGAAGAAAATTGAGAACTACGGGTACAATTGCGGATTTTTCGCCCCTGATTCAGAAAAAATGAATTTTCTTATCAACGGAAAGAAATTTTAAAAAAAGCTCCGTGTACTCTTTTGGCCTGTGTAAAGACAAATCGAATGCAGCATAAATCAGGACTCTGTCCCTTAACAGAATAGGTCTGTAAAAGTTGTTGGCACCCTTTAGAGTGTCCTTGATTATAAATATTTTTATTGGTCATATGATATTGGATTAAACTCTAAATAATATTTCTAGGATCGGTTTCGTACGGGGAATTAGGAAAAATAAGTTAGAGAACTTCAAAACGAAGTAGAACAAAAGTCTCTGATATTTTTCAAACTAGTACGGATTTTCGAAATTGAAGATCTTTTTAGTATTTTTAATGTTATTCCGTCAAAAACCGGTTTTTTAAAGCCAAAACTACTCATTCTTAATCAGCTCGTCCAGCTCTATCGAATGATGCATGAATATGGCGGAAATAAAACGGTTCTCGAATTTTGAATTACGTGCACAAAATATTTACGGGAGTTTTGCAAATCATATAGATGTTCAATCAAATATTTTTTCCATATTACCTAGAGAAAAAGGTGGATGGTTGTACGCTCTCTACATATAAGAGTTTGAAAGGAATTGTTTGAAAATTTGGAAACTCTGATGAAATGGTGATCGAAACGAAGCTAATCTTATTCTCTCTACCGACACATGTACATTTGAGTAAGAAAAATATTGCTCTTTTGGTCGAACAAATATTTACATTTAACGATGTAGGATAACTAATTGAATATAAGTCGAATACATTAAAAATGTACCAGCTCCCGCTCTATACCGCAGAACAAACAACAACAGAACAGAATCCTTTTAGAGCGTGTACTCCAAAACATACGTAGCAAGTATAA